TTATATCCTCAGAAATGCACTGTTATACAACTCAAACTCAACTTTTAATGTCCTTAGAAAACTGAATAACAACCTTTGCTTTATCGCTCTCGCACATGTTCCTAAAACCCCCAAAGCGCATGCGCAATATATCACAGAAGTAACTTTCTCAACAAAGTTGTAAATAAATGCACGCAGCGAGACAATTATCCACTGTAGTTTAATATTGCAACTGAAACTCTCTGCCGGATTATGTTACATTGGTTTGTTACAGTCCTTGAAGCATAAAGGTAAGTCCATTGTATTTTTCGTATTTCCTTAGTTTTATCTCGAAGTTATTACACAAAGTTATTACACGGAAATATTTAACCTTGGTGTAAGTGTTTTCCAAATCACCAAATGTAATGTAACTTCCACCGACAAAAATAGTAATGGGAAGAATTATTTCTGCTCTACCATCAGATTTGAACTAAGTTCATATTTTGTCGACAGCAAGGGCCAGCTCATTACAGGTATTGCAGAAATCACTTGAAACTGAACTGAATCATTTAGTACAGACATCAAAATAGGCAGTCGCGAGACTGCACATGCTACTGTTATTTACAAACTATATAACAATGCGCGGAAAGTATTACAAGTAACCAGACACAGTTCTATAATGCGGTGCCCTAGTGTCTTCTAGGGACAAACCAAAAACAAAGTCAAAACCTTCGACACTAAAGTGCATGACAGAATAAATAGTTGCATATTGACAACAGTTTTGTCCTGAAGCCGGATTTCAAGCTCCCCCCCCCTATTGGCAGACCCCCTCCCCCCCATTGTTGAGACCCGTCGGAAAATTTGAAATTTGTTATGTTGTCGAGTTTGTCGGAATCGATACGTAAGAAAAGTTATTTCAAAATATGTGTAATAAACTGCAAGTCGTACATGAATGTATCGACAGAAAATGTAAACAATAAATATGCAGCGTCAGCAGCGATAAATATAATTATTACCTTAGAGATTACATGAAGAAAATATGCTTGTGATTCCGCATAAACCACAAACTCACAGGCAGAATATAAAGCCGGTGTCAAACTTGGACTGGCACCGCAATTTAAAGCCATGCTTGGGGCTGCGGCTATGTTTTTTACGTTTGAAAAAAGTTAAAATGTTCTTGGTCGTGCGTGCGTACGTGCGTGCGCGCAGTATGTATATACACATATAGTGTAGACAAAGTAACTTGAATGCAAAGAAAATCATTAAAAAGTGAACTGTGTGTTATCAGTGTCATTTACAGTGAAGCATGTTAACTTTTTGAATAGAACAAGCGTAAGATATTGGAATCGTAACGCGCCGGTTAATAGAATCCAAGCACTCAATTACGCTAATATTGTACATGTTTAAGATCAAATTTCGCCAAGACACAAAAGAATCCCAAACATCTGAAATCGTCGTCGAATGACTACATCCTAGCCCTAACGAATTATGCATATGTACCTTTATAAAGAAAGTAGGACCATTTTTAAATAGGCGATTTCCAAGACGTACTTTGGCTAGTTTGGAGAACCCGGAAATTTCAACCATCTTTGATCTAAAATAACCAAGTCAATAACATTTCGAGAAAAGATATCATGAGAAAGTTCCATATATTCTAAAAACATAGATTGTAACAGCAGACCAAAACTTATAATGCGCGCTCAGCACAGCACATGATGTTGACTGCTTTATATAGCGACATTTCTTGGACATTTCGCGTCATTTTCGGTTCGATTTTTGAAGTACTCTAACCTTTTCTTCATTTTGTGTTTCATGGCTGAAACTTCAGTAAATGTGTGGGGTTGGATAGGTCTACAATATATATAAAATCGAGGGAAATTGAAGAACTTTAAATTTTTCACATCTGCCAGAAAATGGCGAATTATTGCGATTTTTACAGACAAGCTCTCTTAATGCTTCTGTCTTGCCACAATCATTTGAAACATAGTCACACGGTTCACCTAGAAATATCAAAGTATCCTTGGTTATTTATACATATTTATATGATACAAAACCAATGAAAGTTTTCCCTTAAATATTTCTTTTTTTTCCTGTTACTTAAATTTTGTTTAAAATATTTCAAATACCTACCCCAGGGGTTGAGGCCATAGCCAAATACAGTACTGGTGGTCTGAAATTCTATGCCTACCTCCTCATCAGGGATGGATCCAGCATGTTCCGGTGTGTGTGTGTGTGTGGGGGGGGGGGTACACTAGTGCTTTAGAGGGCCTGAGCCCCAAGAGGCACCACTATATGGTTGGTGCTATAATATTTCCATACTGTTTGTGGGAATAATTTCTTCATATATGTTTTATTTAAATAAAGTGACCACATAATTTGTTGTTTTTGAAGTGATTTTTTTTACCTGGTAAAAGTGCCAGACACTCATCATTTGCTTGTGATGCAATCTCTTTATGAGCATATAATCTGACGATTTTCAAAGGATTGCAAGTCAGTGGACGGGTTAGGTTGTTTTCGATAAAATGCCGAGAACGTTCTGACAGGACTTCGCTCGAACGGAAATCATCGAGCAAATCTATCAGGCCAGTTTCGTGTTGACGATAGTTTTTATCAAACATGACCGACAGATCAACACAAGAAGTCCACATAGGACTAGCAAAGCAATACGCATCTTCGCTAGCAACATTACTTTGCGGGATAACTGGTTTCAACTGGTAAACATCACCCGATAACAACAACTGAATTCCCCCAAATGGTTTCGAGTTTTTCTTTAGGCATCTTGCTATCATCTCGAGTTTCTCGAACAGTTCCCTGCTAAGCATGGACACTTCGTCGATGACTAACAATTCGCATGTTTGCCATCTCGACAAGGCGTCTTCGTTAGCCTTGATGCTAGAAATCAGTTCATGAGCTCCCTTCGAACCTGTCCCGATCCCAGCAAATGAATGGATTGTTACACCGCCGATATTGTTGGCCGCTTTCCCTGTTGGCGCTGTTACAAAACAACAAATATCTTTCGCCCTTAATTCCTCGATTATAGATGTAATAAAAAGGGACTTTCCACAGCCTCCTTTTCCTGTGATATACACACTGTAGCCTTTCTCGATTAACCTTTTGATCTTTGCTTGATTAGCGTCTAACATACTGCATTTCTTTCATAAATCACAGCAGAAGGAACGATTCGAATAAAGTCAAAAATACAAAGCTGTGGCATTGTCTAGACGCTATTGTCTAGCTGCATTGATTTCGCGCCAAATTCTTGCATAATTACTTTTAGAATATAAATTATCATTACTTTGTCCTCTCGTAACCAAGGAAACTACTACGCGCATGGGGAGAAGAAATACTGCTATTTGATTGGCTAAAAATACACAGTTTCACTCCCCTTTCTTTCTCTCCCCTTCTCCGCCTCGCAAGCTCCAGCCGCGCCAGCGCTATTCACGCCGCCGGCCAGCGCGCTACTTCGTATAATAGTAATATGAAGGGAATATGATATTCTCAAAATGGCAGTTTATTTACCATTTGAATTTGCGCGTGTGTCTAAAGATATATTAAGGACTCTTCCACAAACATCAAGGATTTTCAGTAAAAGAACAAATGAAGTGAACGTCTATGAAAACAGGTACGAATATTAGACAAATATACGTAAAAATATTTATATAAATAGTCAAATATCGTTCTGCTGTGCTCCCTTGAAAAAATGAAAATTTTCTTGAAAATTTCGGATTTGGCAAAAAAATTAAAAATTTCTGGAAAATTTCAGATATGGCGAAAAAATGAAAATTTTCTGGAAAATTTCGGATTTGGCGAAAAAATGAAAATTTTCTGGAAAATTTCGGATTTGGCGAAAAAATAAAAGTTTCCTGGAAAATTTCGGATTTGGCCAAAAATGAAAATTTTCTGGAAAATTTCGGATTTGGCGAAAAAATGAAAATTTTCTGGAAAATTTCGGATTTGGCGAAAAAATGAAAATTTTCTGGAAAATTTCGGGTTTGCCGCAAAAATGAAAATTTTCTGGAAAATTTCGGATTTGGCAAAAAAATGAAAATTTTCTGGAAAATTTCGTATTTGGAGAAAATATGAAAATTTTCTTGAAAATTTAGGATTTGGAGAAAAAATTAAAAATTTTCTTGAAAATTTCGGATTTGGCAAAAAAATGAAAATTTTCTGGAAAATTTCGGATATGGCGAAAAAAATGAAAATTTTCTTGAAAATTTCGGATTTTGCGAAAAAATGAAAATTTTCTGGAAAATTTCGGATGTGGCGAAAAAATGAAAATTTTCTTGAAAATTTCGGATTTGGCGAAAAAATTTGGCCAAATCCGAAATTTTCCAGAGAATTTTCATTTTTTCGCCAAATCCGAAATTTTCCAAAAGTTTTCATTTTTTCGCCAAATCCCAAATTTTCAAGAAAATTTTCATTTTTTCGCCAAATCCGAAATTTTAGCCTTGTCCTCAGCGAAATGAACCTTGTCCTAAGCGTGAGGAACCTTGTCCTCAGTGTGAGGTACGTTGTCCTCAGTGTGAGGTATCTTGTCCTCAGCGGGAGGAATCTAGTCCTCAGTGTGACGTACCTTCTCCTCAGTGTGAGGCACCTTGTCCACAGCGTGAGGAACCCTGTCCTCAGCGTGACGAACCTTGTCCTCAGAGTGAGGAACCTTGTCCACAGTCTGAGGTACCTTGTCCTCAGTGTGAGGAACTTTGACCTCAGCTTGAGAAATCTTGTCCTCAGTGTGAGGTACCTTGTCCTAAGTGTGAGGTACCTTGACCTCACCGTGAGGAACCTTGTCCTCAGCGTGAGTAACCTTGTCCTCAGTGTGAGGTATCTTGTCCTCAGTGTGAGGTACATTGTCCTCAGCGGGAGGAATCTAGTCCTCAGTGTGACGTACCTTGTCCTCAGTGTGAGTCACTTTGTCCTCAGCGAGAGGAACTTTGGCCTCTGCGTGAGGAATCTTGTCCTCTGCGCGAGGAACCTTGTCCTCACCGTGAGGAACCTGATCCTCACCGTCAGGAAGCTTGTCCTCAGTGTTATGGCGTGCGCATTTAAGTATAAAATTTATTAAATGACTAATTATTACATTGGACATTTTGTAAGGCTTTTAATACTTGCTAGAAAATTAACTAGTCAGTTGATCATACGATACGAAGTCGAACAGAAGGCGTTTCATTTATGTTATAAGTGACAGTATAACGATCGAAGTTGAGTTAAAGGTTAAACGAACTTGTATCACCTTAAACGGACACAGATGTAGGTACTTGTGTATTTATTACTCTGTGCATTCATGTTTACGTTTTTTGTAGTATAGTTTAGCATGCATGTATTTCTTTATCTTTGATTTTAGGTTTTTTTTACCTATCCGAATACACCGAGCAGCGATGGCGAACTCTTAAACGGCCACAATGCTGAGCGTGGATTGGGTTAACAACGTCTGTTTTTTACTGAATAAATTTTACCTAATATCAATTCTGTGAGACAATAGAAATTTACGTGCACTTACATCGTAACAAAAAATCTTGAAACGTTTTACCGAGATACAACGAAACGTTCTTAGTATGTAATCGCTCGATCAATTGTCGTCTTTGAATAGATAAACTAACGTTTGAGAAACGGTATGAGTACTTCAAGAGTCGACGAAGATACGCATGGAGACACCCAGCCTCAGATATTTGCCGAGGAAACAGACAATGTTGATATACAATCAACAGGCAATCGACAGCAGAGTAATCGTCAGTCAAGTACAGAAGAAACAAGCTCGGTTGACCACGATGAGAGTGAAAAGACAAAATCAGTAAAGATCGATCGTCGCAGACAGCGACGAATAACAGCTCTATGTGCCGTGACTCGACAAAGGAATGCATTGTCTGCCTTTATGAGCCTAGTTTCCATTTGGTCGTTAGTTGTCCCTGGCACGACAAGTGGCTGATGTAATAGAGTGTCAACAAAACTTCATAAAACTCTGCAATCATTAAGACTGATTTGCATATAACACACACAAAGATTATTATTATATTAGACTATTTCACATCTACCGCTTGTCGTGCCAGCGACAACTAACGACCAAATGGAAACTAGGCTTAACAATTTCCATCTGGTCAAACTTGAGTTGTCTCATTTGGAAGAACGCTTTGTAGAATATAGAAAAGCGTGTGATTCTCATCTAAAAGAACTAAGCGAAGGCGAGGAAACAAGCTGTAATCGAGCATAAAAATTTGAAAGAAAAAGATATTGTAATATACCTAAGTCAAGTGTCGTCATGGATCACTGAAGCAGAACATAATTTATCTGACCGCCTGGAATCGTTAAGCAGCAAAGTCTCTGATCGCACTCGAGCATCTCACCGCACTCGCGCATCCAAGACTAGTTCAAGATCGGCGAAGGTTTCTGCCAGAATGCAAGAAAAGGTCAGATTGGCTGAGCTGATAGCGAGAGATCCATGTTAAAGAAAAGACAAGCTCTTAAGAATGCGGAAGAAGATCTAAAATTGGAAATAGAGATAGTCAAGGCGAAAGCGACGTAGAAAGCTTTGGCGGAAATGAGCGAAGATGAATTGTATAGTTATAAGTCAAGACATCCCGTGTCCTTGTCGACCACATCATCCTACCAACAGCTTCCTGCTTCAAAGGTGCCTTGTCAAAGTTTTCCTTCTAAACTACATATGGCAAGCCAACCAAGTGAAATATCGCATAATGCTACAGAAAGACGTAGTGTGATGCGCGGTGTTCAAACATTGCCTCAACGTAGAAACCAGTCTAGTGATTCAAAACATTCAAAACCGCAACAAGTACAATCTCCATCAAATGCTCGACCATTTGAATACGAATATCATACGTTCGTAAATCCCACCTCAGCGTCAAATGTTAACAATGGAATGGGAGTTGCAAAGAATCCCCCTGATAAAGAACCGAGCCCAAATACAGCCAACGTGACAGAAAGTGTGCTTGAAAGTATGATGTTACTTCAGCAAAGACAAGCTGAAACATTGATATCAACCCATCAACAGCTCACCGCTTCAATGACTTTACCACAACCATCTATAAACGTATCTAAAGGCGATCCTCTAGAATACAGAACTTTCGTTATGTACTTTGACACCCGAATACAGTATCGAGTTAATAACAACGCAGACCTACTGTATTATTTAAACCAACATTTGAGTGGAGAACCGAAAGATATGATTGAAGGTTGTTTACACATGGATCCGGAAATAGGCTATACGGAAGCAAGACGGTTGCTGAAGAGTATGGGGATCCATACCAGATATCCATGGCGTACATCCAGAGAATCCTCAATTGGCCACTCATCAAATCGGACGAAGGAAAAGCCCTAAAATCATTTTCCCTTTTTTTGATCAAATGTAAGACCGCTATGAAGAGTATTTCTCATTTGTGTGTACTTGATCGTGCACCGAACATGCAAGCAGTGGTCTCAAAGTTACCATTCCATCTACAAGCAAAATGGAGAGACCTCGTAGCCAAGATCAGAAGGGACAACGCAAAAATAGCAAACTTTGAGAACCTCGCCAGTTTTGTCCAATCGGCTGCTGATGCTCCAAATGATCCAGTGTTTGGGAAAGAAGCTCTCAATAAAAGCAAAGAAAGCTCCAAGAAATTTGATAAAAGAGACAGCATTCAGTTAAAGAACAAGAACTCTAGTTTTGCAACAAATCCCACCTTAATACACGGGGCCGGGTCAGCAAAACCGATCATCGTCTGTCCATTGTGCAACTCCTCTCACGACCTGGACGACTGCCAACTTTTTCTGAAGAAAACCGTCGAGCAAAGAAAAGAATATCTCAAGCAGAACAAGATGTGTTTCGCCTGTTACGAGAAGAATCACATTTCAAGAAGCTGTTTACGAAAAAGAAAATGTAAGAAATGTAACAAGCCACATCCATCTGCTCTTCACGTTGATGACTTTAAATTAGAGAATCAAGTTCGTAAAAGCGAGGAAGAAGTGAAGAATGCATGTACCAAAATGCCCTCCAATTCTCCAAACGACGTGGTAGTCGTACACGCTATCATACCCGTGAAAGTCAAGCCGAAGGGTAGTACCGGAACAGTAACTACTTATGCTTTCTATGACAATGGGAGTGGAGGCTCTTTTCTAACAGAAAATCTTTGTGAGCAGCTCGGTGTGCAAGGTCAACGTACGAAGTTGCAGCTTGGAACAATGCTCGATCGTAATTTAGTGGACAGTACCATTGTAGAAGATCTGGTAGTGACCGA